CAGGCGGGTGCAGACCCCACTGCCAGCCCCAAGGCCACAACCAGCCAGAGGAGCAGGCGGCACGACTGCTCACGTGCATTTCTGCTGCTTCTATTAAAACTAACGACCCGCTATCATTCAATATTTGCAATAAAATATTAAGCAGAGACTGTTAAAACAAGGTTGAATCCTGCTCTGATAACTGCATAGAAATGTAACAAACATATAATCAATATCCCCACACCCTGCAGCCTAGAAAACAAGTTATAACCATAGCAAGCTATATCAACTGAAAGGAGAACACTATCCCACTTTTATTCCGGCATTCTGACCCCTTTCCACACTGACAGCAAGAGGGCTGGGGCAGAACAGGGGATTCCCTGCAAGCAGAGCCCTCAAAACCTACGTTCAGGATGCACATCCACCCACATGCTGAACAGGCAGCTTGGATCATCGCGAGACTTGGGATTGGTTTAACTTCTACATTATTACTGAGTTTATATCGACATGTACACATATTTCTCTACATAGCAGACACAGGTATCTGTATCACCTTTGTGTCTTTGTGTATGCCCATGCATGAGTGTGCCCGTCGAGGGCAGGAGGAAGCGTGAGCACACAACAGGCTGTGGTGAGGAGCCCAGAGGGAGGGAGGCTGAAGGCACAAGCAGGTACGGAGAGCACGGCAAGGGACTCTCATTACTGCTAAATCTTCTCTTTTCCTTTCCTTAAGTCAAAGTATTGCACAATAATTATGGAAGGTAGATCTGAGCAGAATTCATAAACAGTTTGAGATTACCAGAAGCAGGATCTCAGAAGCCTGCAGGGAAACAGCAATGTAGGAAGTGCTCAGCCACGTATTCATAAATACCTCTGCTGGCACAGCATCAGTGTGAAAAGCAGGCTTTTGCTGCCTGGTCATCAGAGAACTTCCTCACTAAAACCACAGGGCCAGTTAAACGCAGCTTGAATTAAGTGCCTGGTGCCTGGACACACATGCAGAACCAGCCAGACACCCCTCCGTGGAGGCCACTGCACAAACCGATCTCCTGAAGGGACACAAGAAGGAATTACCTGGACACTGCCACCTTCACAGGGAGAGTCCTGGCCCAGCAAATAACAGCTACTGCTATGTCAAGGTGGTCGTCTCACAGAACCACAGAATGGTAGGGGCTGGAAGGGACCTCTGAAGGTCATCTAGTACACCCTCACTGCCAGAGGAGGATCACTTAGCATAGATCATACAGGACACGTCCAGATGAGTTTTGAATGTCAGCAGAGACGGAGACTCCACAACCTCTCTAGGCTGTGCTCCTCACTTTATTTTCTTATGTTTATGTTGAACCTCCCGTTTTCCACTTTGTGACCTTGATACCTGCAGAGCAGGCAACTGTGGGCTGGTCTTCTAGCAGCAGTAATAAAGGTAAAAGTTCTGCAATGCCGACTGACAGCAGCACACATACACCTACTTCATGAATACAGACATACATGGGCCACCTCCCAAAGAAACTCATATTTTCTGAATTACGCAAAAAGATGCCTGTGAGTGGATTTTTCCTGGATCGTGTGGCCATCCAATAAGACAGGATAACAGTATTATCCTGAGAGCAAAGAAAGGATAAATAAAACCAGATAAGAAATACAGTCTTCTACAGTGTACTTTAATTTTTTTTTCCTAGAGAAATTATGTGAGCACCATTAGTTCAGCCATGTGCAGCATTCTGGTATCCTCTAATTTCATTGGAAAGAGACATCATCAGAAAGATTCAAAAATAGCAGCCTCTTAATAAGTCCAGACTATTACAGGCGGACCCCAAAAAGTCAGCAGGATGGAATAACTGTTATTTCTGGTTTTGGGGTAATAAACCGTGGATCAGAGAAACTGTATGATGTGTCCACTGTGACACAAATAAACTTACAGAATGCAATATTCCTGGTTTTGTAATATGTGGCACTGCTTCCAGTACGACAAAGAATGCAGCGCACGCTAATAATAAAACTTCTTGTTCAAAAGATACTTTTCAGAAACAGTCAATCTATATCTCTCGAAATATAATTGGTTTGCAAGAATTCATGTTCTCAGTGGCAGAGGTTTGGTGGTTGGGGAGCACTGGATTTCCTATCTGCATGGGCAAGTGAGTCAGCAGAGACTCCTGTTTCCCAGGTGAAACTATCAGCCTGGGGCTGGCTGCACAAACATCCCAGCCCAACCCAGAGTGAACAGCAGCGAGCCAGGGCTCTGCCCATCCTATCAACCATGCTCAGGGCCTTTCCTTCTTCTCAGCTTTTTTATCAGCTGCTACCTGCCTCCTGGCCACAGCAACGTTTTTAGTTTGTATCTTACAGAAACCAATAGGAATATGCCACAACCTTAAGAGAAAAATCTGTGACAAGATGCTTAGCGATACAACTTAGTTTCTACAATTCCAACAGTTCTGCGAGGTCTTAAAGCAATACTGCAATCCAGCTCTCCTCAAATAAACTCCATCATAATTAACGTGGTATTTTCATAAATTCAGATTCCAGAAATTTATATTTAATTTATTAGTAGAATAACTAAGCAGATGAACTGCAAACACCTTCAGTGAGTCTCTGATAAACTAAGATGTCACTGTGACAAGTAGAACTACCATCACGAACCATGAAAGTAGGAAGCAATACGTTTTCTTCTTCAAGTATGTTTGCATTTGTGATGACAAACAGGACAAACTTCTGAGGTTTTTTAACTGAGTAGTAGGTGATGCATATTTTAGGTGCTCAGAGTTGAAAAGATGTGGAAAAGCTAACACTTACTCATTTAAAAAGTACCTCAAACCATTCAGATAAATCACTTCAATACTTACCAGAAGTAAATTAATAATTTCTTCCTGTTTTTCATATCAGGTAGATCTGTATAGACCTGAACATTTTGTCCTTTATTCTTTCAACAACAATCCCCTGTCAAGTACTATCTCCTACATCGCTGTACTTCATGGTCCTATGATTTAACTATCTGGCTTCTCCACATCACTCTAAACAATGTTTTGCTTATCATAATAACGAAGGCAAACAAAGAACAAAATCTTCACATTCCATACCTGCAAAGCACAGTTCATCATTCGCACAACGTAGTCAAACTGTTGATGGTCCAGTATTGCTCGATTTTGTTTCACATGCAGGCCTAATTCCTGTGTCAGGCAGTGCCGAGCTGCCTTTCCTTTTAGGGCTCTCAGAGCTGCAGGCAGGGTCTGGAGAGGAGAAAATCTAACATTATGAAAATGAAATTAAATGGCACTATTCATACAGAATATAATTTACTCTTTATTAAGAAACTGCAAGTTACAGCATAGTAAAGAATTACTTTGGAAATGACTCGTTAGCTTGAATATCAAACTTTGACGTAATGGTTGATTCAGCTTGAGTCATTAAGTATTAAATTTTTCCCACATTTTCTCCAAATGCATTTCTCACTTATGTCTGGACAGGCACTGAATGGATGTGAAATCAGAATCGGATTATTCTGCACAAAAGAAAGAAAGTGTTCTATTCTGTACCAGCCAGGCCAGATCTCGAGTTAGCATATCAAGGCCAAGCAGCATGTTTTTTGATAAGCAGTGAATGACTAATGGCTTTAGAAGTGGCATACCTCTCACAGCAATGAGGCCACAAGACTGTTACGCAGCTTACCCTAAATCAGCGTCAACAGAATATCTACAGCAGCGTTTTAAAGATGCAGCGAGTGCTACATCGGTGGTTATTGACTTGGACTGAATGGGTGGTAAAGATAAATAAGAAAAGGCAGCCTACTGTCTACAGACAAAGTTACCATGTAGCAGGAGAAAATCTACTGATTTCTTACAAGTGCCTGTAAGTTGAAAGAGGGTAAAACCCACTGTGTTACACATGCATCAAAACTCTTTAAAAGAGCTACATGCTTTATTAGGGCTTTTCCCATATGCATTTCTGTAATATTACTTTTAAATCAATAAATGCTCATTTTCTATCTTGAGCTGCACAGCCTCAGATTTATGTAGGTGACATTTTTCTGAGAAACAAACAAATAAAAAATCTTAAAATAATTTTACACTTATTTTCATATGTAGAATTAGATTTGACAGTAAGTTTGACTGTTGTAGAATCAGTAATTGAAAACTCTGTGGAGAGAATCTACAAAACCTGGCAACTTCCTAATGTGAAAAAATAAAGACGTCAAACATGACAACTCACTAGTACATTTTAGTGAAGACAGACATGCCAAATGATTCTATGATTTTATGAATACTTACATTCATTTCTGAGTTCTATCAAATTATGGATTTTTAAAACAAGTAAAATATATTGTACTGACAATTTCAAAAGAGTGTTAGCTGACAAACACTGAAATTTGTGCCTTTTGTTTAAATTCCTCCTAACCAATCCTGCTAGACTAATATACACCCCTTTTTAAAACATACATCCCCTTATAAAATATGTGGACAATATTATTTATAAAGGTAATATAAATTAGTAAAAAGAGCATCAACATATGCAGTATTACCACAGGTTTTAAAATCCATTAGGTTCATATTACATAGAATCATAGAAACATAGACTGGCCTAGGCTGGAAGGGAACTTAGAGATCATTTAATCCAACCTCCCTGTCATGGGCAGGGACGCCTCTCAACTAGATCAGGCAACACATGGGGACCAAACAGGGATAGAACCCACGACCTTGGTGTTATCAGCACCACGCTCAACCAACTGAGCTAACCGGCTCCATGAGCTATTGCATTTAGATTATCAGTTTTATTTCTTATTTCATTCATTTGAATGGCTAAAATAATTATTAGTATTCACTCACTAACAGAATGGAAGCTTATTGGGGAAAGTTACAATTTTATTCTATTACCTTTTCAGTCTCCAAAAATTTGTTTTCAAAAATGAATGAGATGCAGTTTCTAACAACTTCCAGCCTTTGTGCACTGTTGAAAACTGTGCTTCCTTTTTCCAGTATGGAAACTAGTAAAGAAAAAGAAGAATATACATCTGTGAAATGGCTTCTGCAACAGCCCCAAAGAATACGAGAAAGTTAAAAAAAAGTATATAAAATTAGTGTAAAGCCCAGGTTGTTAAGTAAACACCATTAGTAGGCATATACAGAAGAGAACATAAGATCTAAATCTTTGGTTTTCCTATACTATCTGAAGACAGTGCTATCAATTTTAACTAGAGCAGTTGATTCCCTTTACTACTTCCTCTGTTTGTCTCATATAGGCACAAAGAGATTCTAACCTCTAACATAATAATGAAATATATAAATAAATACAGATTAATTTTTAAAAAGTTATACGTATACATGTGTGTGTGTTCTGCAGTGAGCTACATAGCCTTGCATATGCTGTAGCAGTAGATAACTATTTTTTTCCTTAAGATTTCATTGGTCATGCCAGGCATTCTGTGACATGAAATAAAACCCGTCAAATTTGAGTTCTCTTATCTAGAATCCAATTTGCTGAGATCTAATGATTATTTTCTTAATGTTATGCTTTGCTTAAATTGTCAAGAAAATTCAGAATGGAAGAACTAACATTCTCTTTTTCTCTTTAGCATAAAGTAAATAGAAAATAAATGCAGAACATGCCCTTCTTATAGATAATAATGAGCTCCTAATAGACAAGAATTTTGACATGCAGGACAACAGAGTGTGAAATTTGTGCCTTGAAAAAAACAAAAAAAATCCAAACAATAAAACTTCACCATAAAAATTAACTTATGAGGAAACAAAACCCTCTCTTGCCTAGTCTTTTAAACAAAGACAATAGAACACAAGTACATTCCCTTTAAATTCTCTGTAAGTAAAGATTCAATGATGTAGCCAACGTAAAAGCAGGTGAACGGAGTTTATCCTCTTCTTACATAAACTCAAACACAAACAGGGCTGGAAAGGGCCTCAAAAGGCCAACTAGTTCATCCCGCTGTCCCTAGACAGGATCAACTGTATTTATGTTGCTTCTCATGTTTGTCTTACATGTTCTCAAAGTTCTGTGATAACAGAGACTCCAAGGCTTCCTGAGAAATCAATTCAACTGCCTCACAATCCTCATTTTACCAAGTTTTTCTTGACAAATAACTCTAGTTTTGTGCTGGAATTAAACCCATTCTTTCTTATCACTACAGATCAGTCCCTTTCATTTTATTAACAACCTCTTATGTAACTGAAGACTGCTATTATGTGTTCCCTCAGTCGTCTGTTTCTCAGTTTAAACAACTCTGCATCCTCCCTTGTAGGTCACATTCTCCAGATCGCTGGTCACTCTTGTTACTTTTTTCTGGACTCCTTCCAACAGAACCAAAAATGGAGAGAGCATTCCAGTGCCCAAAAACAGATACAAACAGTCCAGCTGAGGTCTAACTGAGTACAACGAAAGGCTTCCTCCATGGGGTTCACTGACTGTCCTTCTCTTAACACATCCTACTAAGATGTTTGTCTTTTTTGCAATAGTTTATTATAGTTAAGTCATGTTTGCACTATGATCACTGTAACCCCCAAATTAATTTCTAAAGAACTGATGCGTAGTCAGCTCATCATGCCTATGCAAGTGCGATACCTTATTTGAAGAAAAACAGTAGAGAAGGAAAAAATTCAACAGAGACTAGATCATTAATTTTTCAAGACTGATTTGAATTCTAATGCCATCCTTCCAAAGTTTTGCAAGCTCTGCCAGCTTCATGTGTCCTATAAGTTTACCAGACGTATTTGTTTACAGATTATAGAATCTTTCTGGCATTAAAGTGAAATTGACTGGCCTCCAATGCCTACATCTGTTCTGTATATTTATTTTGAGATGGATGCAATGCTTGCTCCTTACCTTTTTCCAGTGATTTACAGGTCTTCCACTAATGTCAAAGAACAAACCCTAACAGTTCCAAGCTTGGTTCAGCCAGTTCTACAAGCAACCTACAGTCATATTTATCAAACAGAGACAATACCTAATTTAATTCAGTTCACCTCAGATCAAACTCCTTTTTTGTTGTTAGTAATTATGACACTCACACTTTTGGTGTCTGAACACTTTGTAAATGCTGATGCAAAAGGGCTTTAAAATCTCAAAAGCAAACAGACAAGTCAATGTACTAAAGGTTACTACAATCGTGACAAACACTGTACTAACATGAAATTCAGAGCAACACATTGCAGCCAGGCTAATTATATATTCAACTTATGAGAGAGGACGACAAACAGGTAAGTCAGGGAACAAGCAAACATACCAACAGGTGGGCCTGCTGGAACAACGCACTTCTTGTCGCCCCGGGTGGCAGGAGGGGCACCCTGACCCCTTGTGAGGCCTTCCTGGAGGAGCTCCTGCACCCGGCACTCATTGATCCGGGGAAAAGGAAGGATGTGAACCCGCAAGTGGGAGCCCTCTGTGGGTCGTGGCACTTTCTGGAACGCTATATGTGGATTGGGATTCTCCTGCAGGTCAGAAGCAAAAGGTCACATGCAAACGTGTTACGCAGTGTTACCATCTGTCCCATCTAATTTTATCGCTTTTCCGTTTATCTGTCATATCTGCAATATTAAGCAGCCAAGTTATCTACTGCAGCTGCTAAAATGATGTTTCATATTCATATGACTCTTGATTAATTATCTGTAATTCATTTAACTTTGTTAAAGGGAACACAGTCTCAGTACGAGTTTACAGGAGAAAAAGCCAGAAAGGCAGAATAACTATTGCGCATTCTATTTCATGGAGTTACATGTTCTAGTTCATGGAGAAAGATGCAGAGGAAACACATAGAAAGAGTCACTCTAATCTTGGGCATCATAAAAATAACATCAGCTGTATATGCTATTAGGAGTGTAGGTCTAATGTCTTCAACTGCTGAAGCAGTATATGCCAAAAACTTGTCCAGATTTTCCAGTTGTACCAGCTAGACTAATGCAAATATTATGCTCTCCTCCAGTCTCTCATAGATATCTAGACTGTCAGAGCCACAATATGAGGACTATTAAAACTGTGGAACATGATGTCAAAACATGTGACACAGTGAGTTTAAAATCAGGCAACTCTAGAAGTGCAATGCTGAGAAAAAAAAGGTGATAAATGTGTTAATTGACTACATAACAGATACTGCTTTGTGGAGTCTGAAGAACCATGGGTAGTGTGAAGGGGAGATTAGCTGAAGGAAAAAAACCCAACACACACAAAATCCACAAAACAAAATGAACAAAAAAATAAAAAAAAGAGAATATCCAAATAACAGCTAATGACATATTAAGAGATTTTACAAAACAGCATATACCAGAAGGACATGAAAGTACACAACAATGACAGAAAATAAAACACTAAGTAGCAGCAGTTAATACATAAATCAGTATCAGTACACTGAACTTCCTTCACACATAAAAAATCATTGACATTTAAAGCTCCAAGGTCTTTTGTCATAATGCAGATGATGACTACCACAAGCAGTCATTTCTGTCTTCAGATACTGGATCAATCTCAGAAATGCGAATTTTCAAAGTTACTACCTCACCCCTAAAAGTGCAGCATGTACAGGAAACTTACATTTTTGAAGAGCTGTTCTGCAAGTTCTCTAACATGCTTTATCATTTTTGGTGGGTTACCTTCCTCAGCTTTAATTCTTTCGACTTCAAAGGCTACCAACTTGAAAGGAAAAAAAATATTTATAACTCATCTAAAAGTAATTTGTATTTCCTATTTAAATTATTAAATGCCAATCTTAAACTGAAACTGAGCACAGAAAACCAAATACTAAAAAATGAGCAATGTCACACCGCTCTGGAACATGAGACATTTGCCCTTTCTTGTAGAGCTTCTGTTCCCAGATTTTATAGTCCTACCTAACACAGCAAGTCCCACACACTCAAACCACTGCTTTAACGTTTCAAATACCATAATCCATATTTCTCATACATTCTACTACTACACAGATTTAATACCAAACTCTATTTGTACTCTACATTCAAATAAAAGGCAGCCGTGTACAAATATGTCAGTACTTTTTAAAAGAAAAAAATGTCTGAACCAGTTCATATTGTTGGGTATGTATGTAATATTTCTCTTACTTTTTCAACATTTCTAAGAATATAATTAAATAACTCAATTCTGTACTAGGACACATGGCGCATTACAAAGTTCCCAACAATAAGACCATCATTACCACGATGTATACAACTGTTTAGTTTCATACATATGAGTAGGGCATGATTTTATGGAAGTAAACTTGAAATGTATGCTTAGTAAAAAAAAAAAAATTAAGAAGACTGGTGTAAACTTCATATAACAAACGGAATTCTGAGGCATTTCAGTGCTTTTTCACATGCTAAAATGGCATAGGTACGCTTTCATTTGCTTGGAAATATAGAAAGAGTTTTCACCTCATCAAAAAGATCACAGGTTCTGAAAGGAGGACCCCTCTCTGACACAAACCCAGCAAACGCCATTCCATTGAGAACTTTGGTTAGAAAGTCATTCTCAACTAAGCCCCGCTGTCCCAAAAAGGCTGCCTGCAATAAAGATAGAAAAAAAAAAAAGCATGTATTTTATCAGTATCAAAACTACAACGAACTATTTATGTACTAGCAGTTAAGCATTTTCACCAGCTTATAGTAATATGTGGTACTTTGGAATTTCATCTTTTATTTTACCCAGTATCTTTTTACAGGAAGTCTGCTGGACACATTTTATAAATTTCACAAGTAATAAACCAGAAAACGAGTACTTGTAAGCACTGTCTTCTAACTACGTACATTTTCACAATTCCTTAATGATTTCTCAAATGTTTCTTTGTATTAAATACTACTGTTAACTTTGTTTCACATTGCATCACTGTCCCTACAATTTGTTCCACTGAACTGGATTTATACAGAGCTATATAAAAATGATATGATTCTCATACGTAGATTATTTTATTTTTTAAAACTTTAACACTTGTTCAAAAGGCAAGTTCATGGGAAAAACATGACATGAACAAACACTGAATATACATAACTGCTTCTCTGTTACCTTATGGAAATGAATTACTGGTTCAGCATGAATTCTGATCAGCTGAAGACAGGATCGATATCCTTGAAAAAGTTGTGCAAATAGCCTAAGGAAGATTGCTCGCACTTCTTTATCCTGCAGGCAATAATTGAATATGCTGTCAAAACATTTTTGTATTCTAAACTTTTCCACACTTTGTATAAAGCTCTCAGAAAGGCCTAGAAATTCACCAAACAATGCAGCAGCACAGCACAGAAGCAGAGAGACTTGTACACCCACGAAGTCATCTTACACGAGGCTACACATTCACTGACCAGTCCGAGATGGCAACGACAGATTCAGTCTGCGTTCACCTGTTCTCTCCTACTGCTCTTTTCTACGCCCGCACAAGGGGCTCTGGGCAGTGCGAGTGATAGTTATGTGGCAAACCACAGGAAGGAACTGCCACGAGAGAAAACTGCTGCTAAGAGAAGCGAAGAGGGTATTTTTGCACTGTGTTCAGAGCGGGCAGGGGTGGCAGGGACTGGTAGGAGCCTACCGGCTGCGGGGGGAGCCAGGCTCAGCATCCCAGGCATCACCGGCCACCCGTTGTGGCTCTGGCAGCAGAGGGGCCGGCTCTGAGCCTGCCCAGCTACTTATCTAGGAACCTTCCAACTCATGCCTTCACTTGCCAATCTACTGCAGCCAAAATAAGCCAGCGCTAGTTTAAAACGTTTAAAATAGCAGAGCTTTAAAGTCCTGGTTTATTTGATTTTAAGGAGTAAGGGAATGCTAACATAAACACTGATGGACTCACAGAAACGATGTGAACAGTTGGGGGCAGACTTGGGGCAGTGACACCTTCAGCTGGCCCAGATGCAACTGAAGATGGATCAAGTCCCGCGTCACCCATGTCTTTTAGCTTAGCTCAGGTACTTACTCAGACCACAGCTGTGTCTAAAACCTGAGGTCCTAAAAATTGGTTTAGGACCTTAGGTTTTACGGTGTCTCAATAGACTTTTAAAACAAATTCTGACTTTAAAAGTTAAAAGCAGCAAAAATTACTACATTAACTCATCAGGATAACAGCTGATCAGCTAAGTAAATACAATTTAAATAAGTTAAAGCTGGGAATGATTTCTAAAAGAAGGAAGTTTTAGACTCCATAAAGCTGTCCTACTGGAGTATTTTTTCTAGATGTCTGTTTATTCCTCACTGGAACGTGATCAATCTTATTCCATTTTTAACCTAATTCTGTAAGGGCTCACTTTACTGGGATATTCTCATTTTCTTTGTGTTCAGGCTGCCCTCTAGGATTGTAATAGATATATTTGTATCTTGACTTTTTTGACTACTTGAAAATGTGGCCATTTCTTTCAGATTTAACAAAATTCTTACTCGAATACAAAATTATATTAATCTATAACTTTATTATTCAAAGCGAGATCTTAGCTGAATTCTGCCATTACTTTAAAGGAAATCTGGATGACATTTCCTATCTCCAGCAATTAAAAACCCCCAAAAATCTCAAAGTAAGAAATAAGAACAACAAATATATTGTACCGCTTGAGTTTTAGATTTTCAAATACACCTACACAAAAGCCCCAAAGTGTGTTCTTAAATCAAATTGGCTTTTGGATTTTAGTTCAGACTACCAACTCAAGTTCAGTTCTAGGCACTCCTACAAGTTAAAACCAGCAGCTTTATCAAGTTTTTAAGTTATGGCTTCACAATTAATTTTAATCTGAACTAATTAGATTTTAATACAAATCCTACAGACTTTTTTTAGTATACACAGTTACATATAGTTTCATTCAGGCTGAAGTTCATGAAAGCCACTGAACCCTGTATGGTTAAAAACCATACAACTCCTTTCCCAGTATGCCACATGTGTCCAATGCATAATATTTATCATTATTTTTGTAAAACCCGTGACATATGTTTTGCTGTCACAACTACCACTCCTATCTTTACTCATATCTACTCTAAAAGTCTAGATCTTGAGTGACATTTTTTGTTTGTGTTTGGCTTTTTTTGTTTGTTTGGGTTTTGTTTTTGGGGGTTTTTTTAGGGGTGGTGGTCTGCACAGGACATGTTGTCTGTAAGAAAACTTAACTTTAGCGTTAACACCAACACACAAAAAGACCAGTTTGTCCACTCATGTAAAACTCTGCAGCTCTACTGGATTACAAAACAGAGGACGCACAGATTTGACTCAACAGACAGCAATAGTAAGAAAAATAAGATGCTTCCATATTAATAAAAATATGTTTATAAAACTTTTAACCCATGAGAATGCTGTTAGAGGGCAGACTGCAAAGTCCTACAGCATTTCTTTGCTCCACCAATAACACTATAAAGAATACGGATATGGAAAAGAAAACATGAAGCAGAAATTCTTAAAAGAAAGTTAGTCTTAAATTTCAGAAGCTCTTTATTTAAAAAAGTCAGACATAACACAGAAGTCTTACCAGCATTTTTGAGTGTGATAAAGCTGTTCGTGGGGGAGGGAATGCATAATCTGCTGTTTCCAAATCAGGATGCAAAACCTAGAGAATTTTTTAAACAAAATTTTTTCCCTCATTTCGCTGAGGAAAGGATAAATCACGTTTTTTCTTCTTTCTCAAATTACTATTCACTAATACTAAGTATCTCAAATAATAGATTGAGTTAAATTATGAAGACTGTGTGGAAATAAAGGTGAGATTAATTTCTCAGCTTCAGTTTTCTATAAACGAGCTAGTTACCAAAATCTCCGATTACAGTCAATGAAGCTGGTCAGCCATTTTAAGAGTTGGGTCACGTGAAATTAACAGACAGAAAATACTTCTCTTCAAGGCATGGTTCGTTCAGAAGCCTCCAAATAAGGTGATTTCTAGCTTATAAGAATGGTAGATAAAAGACAAACTGAACTACTTTTTTCAGTGATGTCCTGATGTAGAATCAATCATTCTTGAATACTGATATAGAGGCATCATACAAATAAAGTTTAAGACTAATACAGAAAAGAAGCTAAAATGAATGCTTAAATAGGGAGGTTGAGCTCTTATTCAAAAATCGCTGCTCGGAAGGAAAAATCACTACCTGTCTCCTGAATATTGAAGAAACATTTTAGTAGTAAATTACTGACGATATTAACTCTAGCCTCAGATTACCTCTAACTTCAGATAACAAATTCTTTTGAAAACACAAATGTTCACATGAATTGTATTTTAAATCTCACATTTCCAGTGTGTCTGAAAGCAATTTAAGACTGCAACTCATTTTTCATTCTTTAAAAACAGGAGAAGGTGGAAAACTAGGTTTGTAAGAACACATACTAGTGAAAGTGCCATTTGAGTCTGATGTAGCAGTGGCTCTGGCAGCTGAGAGAGATGAATACATTCAGGAATTTTAATTGTGCCTCCATCCAGGTCTGCTATGATTACATCTAACTGTAAGGGACAAATAAAAACATTATTAGAAGTGCATAAACCGTGGGCACAGTTTGAAAACACAACAGTTCAATTTCCATGATCTGCACAGCACTAATGTTAATGTACAGATGCTTTTGATAAAGGAAAAACTCCAAGTATTTCATATTACTGAATATAGCCATGAAAAAATGAATGTAAACCAAAGAAAGTGAAATTAGGCCAAACTTTTAGAAGTGATTTCTCTTTCTGGAGGTTTCAGGCCTGTGTTCAGCGATGCGAGATATCTAATAGCCTGTTTGCAAAATGACATGGTGAGGACAACTCTAAGTAAAATTACACATTTCTAGGCACCTCCATAAACCTGGTTCATCATCTCCAAGCACACGATTAAAAAGTAAGGATATAATAAAATAATTGAGGATACATTTGAAAATCCTAAGGGAACTGTTCAAACACATGACAATGCTGGAAATGCATCCGTTTGATCCCATACTGCACTGGAAACAAATTATTTCTCTCCTCTACTTCACAGTCTTAATGTATTTACAAAAGAACAGATGCTTTTTTATTTCCTCCTCCTGCCTTGCCTTGCTTCCTACAGTAACAAACACACATGAATTGTTCACATAAACATCTCTGGGGCACAGAAAATCTCAGCAGCAAAGCATCACAAATGACCTTGTGAATATGAATATGCTGGGGAGACATACTTACAAGCTCATGAATGTCATTGCGAAAGACAGAATGCACACCAATTATGAAAGGAGTTGGTGAGCTGAGAACTTCCAGTAGCTGTGCAGGAAGAATTGGAATATAGGGATAACTGTGAAAAGAATAAATAAAATAGAATAAAAGCTTCTGAATATCCTTTCACATAGGGCAGTTTTTTCCTTTAAAAAAGGGAAAATTATCTTCCTGTTCTATATTAAATTTACTATAAATATCTGCATTTAGAAATACAAAATACGTAAATATTAATTATATACTTCTTTATAATGTGTCAAGCATAGAGCATTGGTCATACAAACTCCAGAAATTATTATATTATAGGGTCTAAAATTTACTGTAAGCAAGTGTATTTTACAAAATAAGAGAAGCTTATTTATATTCGTAACATATCTGTTCTATGGACATTTAGGAAACCAGGGATTCTAAAATTATGGACAATATCTTCATTTTAGAAACATCACTAGTTTCTGGCCAGACATCTAAAAATAAGCCTTTTGTAAAATATGATTAATAAGAAATCTCTAAATGAAATCTATTGCTCTGATATTGAAATGACATCTAACATTATGTATAGAACACTACTTCAGATACTGTTTATTTAATTTGACAATTTTAAACTAAAGTTAGTGTTTTCATCAGAGCAACGTGAAAATCTGGATCTAAACTGATCGATGCATTTCAACATCTAATTTACAGTTATTAAATATTTAGATTCATGATTATTTTAGCATTAAGAAACATATTCCAAAACTCACTTTCAATTCTTTCCCTTCTTATTCTATATTAAAGAGGAATCCTATATCTGAAATACTTTAAATAAAAATATGCTATTAAAATGAAAGCATCTATTGAAACAGATGAGTCAGAATTACATGTCTTCTTCCTAAAAACCCAAATACTTTCAATTTCAAAATGCGGATTCAGATGTGGCTTTTTTGAGAGAATCCATTTGTTGATTTAAATTCATTCCCTGGTGGACAGTGGTCAGTGACTTAAAACTGATACAAGCTAATGTACCTGTTATCCTAAAATCACAGATTTTGGGGGGGTTGTAAAGGGCCTCAGGAGATCATTTAGCCCAACCCAATACTCAAAGCAGGGTCAAGATTGAAACCAGATCAAGTGGCCATGAAAACCTCCAGGGATGGAGTTCCAAAGGCTCTCTTTTCCACTGCTTAAATCACCATAACAGCATATTTTCCCTGCAGACAGCCAGAAACCTCCCTCTCCCCTGTTGTGGTTTATGACCCGAATATCTCTTGTTCCCCTGCCACACAGCCTCTCTTACTTATTGCCAGGCTGTTATTAGACCTTCCCTGTATCTTTTCTATGCATTTACTCACAGATCATCACTGTCGTTTACCATTCAACTAATGTCATGAGTAGGGTTTCTAGGGTATTTGCAGGTAGGATGTTTCTCCCTGAATTGTTTCCAGTCATGATGGAATTATGACTTCTATATATGATCGTGAAATCCTTTACTTATTTGAACAAACACAGCACAACTCCTTTTGTAAAGGACAATATAAGTAATAAATTGAGTTATAAAATTAGTTAAAGAACCAAAATTCAACTCACCTGTATTTGAGGGGAAACATCAAAGACTCCAGAGCCCTACAGGCATCACTGAGCCTCTGAAAACTTGCTGAGTGAAACAGAACCTTATTTTCCGTAAGCACAGCACAGAATAAGCTGAGAACATTTTGAATTCCTTAAAACAAAACAAAGGGAAAAAACAACCCCAAAAATCAATTGTAACAACATGCCAAGAGAAGAATTAAAATTATATTACAATGAACAATTTTCTGGAGAATTTTTCAAAAAGCGTATAACAGCATTGACAAACTGCCAAACCTCAGTATTTTCCACCTTTTATTTAACTAGTGCAGCTTCCTTTTTATACTTCAGGTTGCTAAAATACTACCTAAATGTACTTTCAAATATATCGTATTACATCTCCCTTTCAATACCACTTTTCAGGATTTCCTCTTCTCAGCACAAATCCCAGCAATGTTTAAAAATGACTTCAAACAGTATTATGTGAATCTTCTCTATAGCCTTCTGTGTATCTAGAATTCAATTCTGGTCACTGATCCAGGCTCAAATTCTAAATCTTTATGTATCTCTATGGGGAAAAAGAAATAAAATCATACTGCCGAGCTCAAAAGAAAATGACAAAGACTTCCTAGTAAATACATTCATTTTTTATCCATGGAGCATTCTAGGAGTTACAAGGTTAAAAAAGGGCAGTAAGAGCGTATGTGTCATTAGAAGAATATGAGAATACGTTAGAGAAGAACTGACTGTTTAAACAAGTCGGTCTAGATTTAGGGTAAGATTCATGAATCAGATGAGGGAGATTTTTTTTTTAAGACAATCCACCTATGAGACAAAGCCATGTGCTTCCAGGGAAAACCAAAAATACATTTCCTTTAAAACAAAGTCTCATCCTGAGAAGCAGACATGTCTGAGTTATGTGAGATATGCTGAAATTTATGAAATTTCCTGAAACATGCTGGAATGTCTGATGCTTCCCTGAGGACATAGCTTGTGTTATCAGTAAGACAGCCTATATTACCTTTACAAATCTACTACTTATCTTACAATAATCTTCCCAATAAGAAGTGTGGCTACAAAGTCACTATATTCGTATGATAATTAACACTTTGTTTTGCTTCAGTAATTTTTTACATGTTTTGACAATTTTTTTTTTCTCTGTTACATGAAAATCTGCTCCAGTGGAGTTGAGCTGGGTTCATAAATATAAAAGGACAAGATTTCAGAAGGGGTTGTTGAGAAAAAGGCTTAATTGTTAGGATGAACAAGTCAAACAGTAACATAATAGCTTGTGCTTTCAAACTCTATTCTCCAAGAATCTAAAGATACTCATGAAATGAAAGGCAGAGACTTGAGAGAACTGCCGGACAGAAGGCTGTTATAACACTGAGCGAGTTACTGTTGCAAATATTTGCTATTGTTTTCAGTGGCATAATTAATATTGTGCTACTATCAACCAAACTGCTTTGTAATACACAATGTAAGGATAGCGTTATAGAAAATCGAACTAGTCTCCGCATGTGAATGAAATGGTTCGAAGCTAACTTGAAAAAAAATCGTGTGTGTGTATGTATGTACATATGTATGAAGCTATGGTCAAACTGCTGCTTCTTTCAATAAAATCTCTGCAAGAATTTAAAAACTTGAACTACCCTTTTTATGCAAAACTGCCCTTGCTCCTTTCCCAGAAGACTTTAAAGACTGTTTTGTTTTAAACTAGGTTTTTGGTTTTGAGGTAAGTGGGCTTTTATACCATTTCATTCCACATTGAATATGCTGACACTTAGAAATACAGTTTTTTAAACATCTGACACTTTTTTCCTATGCAACTGGCATAACTTCACAGATTTTCTTAGCTTCAACCTGAATCTGGAATTTTCAATGGACTGAATCTCCATCTAAAAGTTATGTCTCAATTCTCTCAACCATTTCCTGTCTTCTGAATGCATTAAAAGCAAAAAGTCACCTCACCAAAACTGGTCACATTTTGGCAGAAACAGAAAGAAAGAAACTAGAAATCTTGTGCACTCGCACTTGAAAACAAAATTATTCTCATTTTCTGCAAGGTACTTACAATATGAATGAATATACCACAATCAGAGTGTTTGACTTTTCCCGTGTAATCAGAGTTCAACCCAATAAATAAAAAGCAAATAAGAAATTACCAAAGTAATTTCTTTGGGTATCTTTCACAAAAGCCAGTTTCAAGTGAGAACTCCATTGGCTCTTACCCCTTTCTTTCCTGAATGAAAGTTTACAATATAGACCTAACCTGGAATTAAATTATTTTCAAGACGATAGCCACTAACTCAACACAAAATTATTGCTCCACGTATACTTCAAAATACATGTTTTCAGGAATATCAACAATATAATGAAGGAAATTTTTGTCTGATAGAATCAAACAAATTATAAATAGCAATATTTTGATGACTTTCTTTTTTTAAACCACTGATCAAATTATTTGACCAGGCCACGGAGGTGTTGTTTCAAGCCTCGCATGTTGTTCACTGAAAACAAACAGTTCCGAATAACAGCCTGAGCCCAGTTTCCTTGTGCTACAAGACACAATCGTGTCTGTCTGTAACCTTGAACCCTGCACTGGTCTTCAGACTCCACAGTGCATCCGATGCTAATTTGTCAGGGCATAAATAGACAACATGAAAAACAACAAACAAGTTGATTTTTACAGATTACTCTTTTGCAGTCTACAGACAGACAGACATCCTGTAAAATATTATACATATGCTGGAAAATTTTGAATGGAGGCTTCCTGACCTTCACTGTTTTCAAGTATTTAAAGAATCTGTAATTTGCACTAAATTATCTGACATCCTACATCAACAAATGTATCATTCTGCCTGCTTCCTGTTGTTCTAGAATTTAAGTATTTATTTAAGCGTGATTAAAAAAACCCCGAACACTAAGTGTGCTTGACAAATTATTAACTGTCCTCTATATTGCAAGAAATCAAAATATTATCACTAACTTCTTCAGACTTTAGTAAAGAGTTATAAACATGGATTTGGAAACTCAACTAGCTGACTACATTATTATGCCAATATGCCATTCCTGAATTACGGCACACAAGAAAAAGCTTAATAGACAAAATAATCCGTAACTTAGCCAGACTAATCCAGGAAATGGGTCAACAAAGACTGAAAAGCCTTTCTGAAAGGCCACTGGAGAGTACACAGTACAAGTTCTGTGCCAGGCAGTGTCTGGCTCTGAAGATAACTGGGGAAAAAAGTAGAGAAAAATAAAACTCTTTTCATTTGTATTTTTAGATGTAGCTGTACAGCGCTGCTAATGAACAAAATACAAGCTTAACTAATAAATAAGGGGCAATAATTTTACTCAATATTCTTATGGGTAATCCTTGTCAAATTGCACTCATTTGTCAACCCCCAAATTACACAGTTATCTCCAATCAACTGCACACAGTTAAAACAAACCCCCAAAATTGCTGCCACTCAGTTCAGGATCAATTCCACTTCAGAAAGGTGTGCAGTTCTGTTAACAGACTAGGCCTGCGCTGCACACTATGTGATGAAATCAGAGCCAAACGTGCTCACAAACGGGGAGCAATCTAGCTGTGCCAGCTTCGAGTCCTGTGAGAGGTCATTTATCCTGCTTGCTGGCTGGGTAACAGAGAACATGAGTCCGAGGAGGACCCCAAGAGATGAGCTGACTTGGTCTTTGTCACACTGCGGAGGAAGAGCAGCAGTCTCTACAGCACAGAGCCCTCAGCTAAGACTCCCTCAAAGAATCAAACATTCAATGAATAAAGTGTTCATACTAATTTCTGGGCACATTAGAAGCAAATACGGGTGTGACGTAGTACAGTAATCAAAATGTGGTTTTAGAGAAAAACTTGTCATTTTGTAGGTTGTTTTTCAGCATCTGAACCATGACTGTTGCGTGTTCTTTGGAAGAAGCACAGCAGAATGAAGGCTTCTCTGCAAACAGCCTTTGGGGAGGGTAGGAAGAGGTCAGGAACAGGAGGACAACACAGAATGATTCTGATATAAAAACCAACTGATCATGAAACAATAGATCAAAGAGACTATGAAAACAAGTATATCTATCTATATATATATGTATACATAAAAGATGTCTTTAGCTGATGGATAAATATTCCTGCCACCGTTGCTCTCCCAAAGTTTATCAACTGTGTTCTGTCAACACCAAGTCAAGCAGATGGCTGCCATCCAAACCCAAAATTACACAGGCACAACGAAAGAGGGATTAAGCTCAATAGACAAATATACGATCTACTTAGGAATACGATCTACATCATCTACAGTGATGTCTGTCATTTGCATGCTGATACCACTTCATTATTTCCAATTTCATTAAATCCTTCTGCAGATCTACTTAAAGGAGCAGGAAAAGCCCTCTGGATTTCTTGAGCCTTTGAACATAACTCGGCCAATACACTGCGTGAACATAATCAGTAATTATTTTTTTTCAGAGACAACGATACAGCTAAAGATGATTAATAATAAAATATTTAGATAATAAAGTCTTCAGCCCCGAAAAAGTGCAATACCATTTCTTATGCATGGTTATAAAGCTAAACATATCCAAAGTGAGACTGATAAGCTCGAGATTTATGTGTTGTTTTCTCAAAAAAGCAGAAAAGACAATGGAAGATAAACCAGACAAATAACGGTTTCCTATGTAGAACATACTCACATGGCAGGGAGGTAAGTGCCAAATTTACATGAACAACTTTGAATTACACAAACACAACTTTCATCATCAATTGAAGGTTTGCAACTGATTGTACATCTGGCTTATAGACACAGGCTTGATAAGTGCTATTTATTTAGTTACTTTAAATGATTTAGTTACTTTAAGATTTAGTTACTTTAAACGTTGGTTTTGTACTTTTTCTTTTCTACTGAACACACATCAAAACCAAATTCCAGGAAAGAATAAATGCCAAGAGAATGACAGTCATAGTAGGTTTCCATATAAAATTCAAAGCTATTACGGGGAAGATCTTCACTCAGACCAAATATAAGATTATTTGTCTCCTGCAGGAACGGTGGCAAGCAACATGTCTCAATATTGAACTATTAACTATCAGATTAAAACTTTTTTACCTTGATGATGGGTATTTTTGCATTCTTTGCAGCTACACATAAAACAAGTCTCAAACAATCTGAATCAAACTACAATGACTAATTTCAGATAAACACATGGCTTGGATACATAAAATTTTAAAATCAAGTATTTCACTCATAGCTAAGAATACAGCTGACAGGCAAAATGGAGAATTAAACTCATAAAACTATGAGTAGCTGCAATATGAAAAACAACAGTATAACATTTGGGAAAGACTCCTGCATGTAATGGATTGTAAAATATTCTTATTAGAAATATTACAGATTAAATCCTGATGGAGCAAAAGTACACTAATAATTTGACTGGATCCATTTAAAGCAGAAAATTGCCCTTTAACAAATCTATGCTGAGCCAGAGTAATACCATTGCGTTCTTTAGAAAGAAAATATCTAAGAATGAGAAGAGTATTGTCATTCTTAAACTGTACACAGGAAAAATGGTCAAGGATACACAAGAAACTGCAAACATATCTCCTTCCTGTCTAAGGACTATGAAGTCTTCCTCAAGGGATATAACTACTGAAGCATTATAAAATGGAATCAAATAAATGCAAAGACAACAAGAACACGTGGTTGATCAGGATATTCTGATAGAGCTACCTTCAGCCAATGTTGGTTGATATTAATGGAGTATAAACACTCATTAAAGAAACTGCAAAAAAACCGTAACCTTGAAAAATTTTAAAAGTTGCTTTATTTTCTTGAAAGATCGTATTTGGATTCTCTGCAAAATATATAGCAACCTTTAAAAATCCTTTCTTTGTCAAATTTTTTTCCTGACCTCCCGACATAGCGATACCTCAGCTCACATTGAAACTGAATAGCAATACTTTAAACATGAATTTAAGAACAAATACATGGAATCAAATTTCTATAGAATGTTTTTCCTTTCCTCTCAGCACAAGCATTAACATTGAAGTTTTGAAATTTAAGGTTTTGCAGGGTCTTATGACTTAACTGCTATCAAGCTTGCTTTGGAATAACATGAAGAGTTATTTCTGTATTCCTACCAGCAAAAGCTGAGAGAAAAGTAATCTGTTCTGAGTAGGCCCTGTTTCAGTGTCTTTCTATAGGCAGAGGTAAGCTTCTTTTGCCTTTTTGAAATTTAGACTTTGCTTAAAATTAACTGCTGCATATTTTGTCTCATTCAAAGAGGCATTAGTAACAAAAGTTCAGACTGAGCAAGCATCTTATTTCATGCACATCGCTGTTGCACAAAACAGTGGACACTACTAGAAATAGAGGTCACTGCCTCTCAACACATTTCAGAATCCTGTCTACTCTGAAAAATATTGATGTAAAAAGCAGCAAAAGGTAATAGCTACGGTCTATGATATGGAGGAAAATCAAAGGATAAAATACAGCATAAAAGCCTAACATTGTTCAAAAAGCAGCCTTTACAAGCCAATATAAGCAATACTATGACCAAAATCTTAAATATTCTTTTCAGACTTTATGTTCTTTTGGTATTTATGTTTTCTAAAGGCTGCTACATCCTCTAAGCAGTAAAGCTACCTTTACTTTCATTCAGAATGAAAACATAAAGAATAATATGTCCCACAAGTATTGTGAGTTTAAAAATTAGCTGTCACAAAGTTGTTTTCGTTAGAACCAAACTATACCAGGCAGGTAGTGGTGAACAACTACATCTCTTCTAGGACTTGCAAAGCTTGATTTTTAGTATCAAAGGAATCTAAACTTACCATGAAGAACTAGCATCAGAATATCAACTTTCTCAAGACTTTCAGAAGGTAAACAGCAAAAACTGAAGACCCACTAGCTGTCAGGACCAGCAATGGCAACTGCTCTGCAACTTGGCAGTTACCAAGAACGGGAACAAGGTAGGAAGGGGCAGTGCCCTCACTAACAAGTGGTTGAGTCCCACAGTACCCAGAGAAAGACGAGTTGGGCAGGTTTGCTGAGAACAGTTGGGTTCAGCCAGAAGTTGAAATAGCCAAACAAGCCCATAGTTATGAGGAAGGTCTGAGGTCAAGCCAGGAAGCCAAGTCAGCACGGCAGGGTCAGCATCAGGACCAGCAATGGTAGCCAGGTCAGTCAATGATCACAAGGCGAGTCCATCATCAGGAAGAAGACCTGAGATCAAGGCGGGATGTCCAGTCCATGGGTTAGGATCTGGGTCAGAGAGGCAGAAGCATCGCTGCAACATGGCTTGTGCAATGACGCAATGGCACAGTCTGAGCTTAAGAACAGCATCCAAGGAAAGAGGTCACCAGGACCCTCCTACTCACATCTTTCACGCAGTTCTTTCCTCAACAGATTGACCAAGGCTGCACAGCTGTGGTACGGCAATGCTGACCTTGAGCATTGGCAACTCAGCTCTGTGAGAAGTGATCATGGGGGGCTGCTCATGTGCTCAGGGCCCTGACATCAACTTTCACAAGAAATGCCAAGGACAAAAAAAACTATCAGTCTAAGCAGAGATTTCCAGTCTTCCAAGAGGAAAATGCATGCTGAATGTGACTGGTACAACTACAGAACCATTTAAAAAAATGTGGGTTAACCGAAATTGAAAAGTGCAAGTGCTGGTTAAACCTTAGGTTCCTGGTTTGCTGCTCAGGTCCCTAACATAATTTCGTGGTTTAGGTTCTTTGGAAAAAATTGCCTGTTAGGAAGATGGAGCTGTATGTCTCAGATACATATTAAGATACATGGCAGTGCTGAATAACCATGCTGTCAGCAGAATGGAGAAGATGAGTAAGGTTGGAGTTTGGAGAAATAGAAGAACTTAAGCAGAAACACAGGAAAAAACCTTGGTAACAAAATGAGAGAGAAGAGAAATATAACCAAAATGTCATTTGAGCCTGAAGAAGGCTACTGTGTTTTAACACACAAGGAGAAATAGAAGAGTATTGAAAATCTTCTAACTACCACAGATCATCTTAAAAAGTAACTTTATAATTACTCTTCTTCCAGAACGTCAACAATCCTTGTTCCTGAAATCATTTTTAGGTGTAGTGATCCAGCAACAGGCCTGGCTTTTGTCACTTTATTCACATATATTATTCTTTTTTAAATAAGAAAAGAATGTATGATTTAAAATGTCAAACACTGCCGCCCCTTATTATTAAGCTTAAAACCTTTGGGGCTGTTTTTCCCAACTGTAGTTTAACGCATAAGTAAAAATAAGGTCTAATGCTGCAAACTTGGTAATACAGGGAGGGTCATCCGCTGACACAGTATTATCCTGCCAAGCAGAAAAAGCATGATGAGACTACTATTGCACAATATTTCTCAAAATAAATGTTGAAATTACTTCCGTATCTATTCATAGCATAAATTTTGTCTTGTTGCCCATCTTCCTCAAAGAAAGAGCTATTTTTAAAAAGGTGATTTATACAGTTCACAAATATTTTTCTAGCTACTCTTTTACATTCTATTAATAATTTGAATAGGATTAAGTGACTTGTCCCAGAACAGAAAAAACTGAACATGCCATTACTTGATAAACAGCCTACTCAATATTTGTGTGCTAAACACACACTAGGCATCAACAAAACTTGCCCTTTGGAAGACAATGACAACCCACCACCTACACGTGAAAGGAACTATCCGCTATTCTGTAACATGATGTACACTATGAAAACATGGAAATACTTGTGGTACCTCACACAGTATCTTATACCTTCAGAAAAGGGGAAAGTTGTTTGGCCTATCCATGTTTAACACATTGCCTGCACCTGATTAGAGTAAGCATTTGATCTTCTTGAAAAACAGGGAATAATAGATAACAACAGAAAAATATGAATTTCACATAGTAACCAACATTACTACAAGGTATCTTTTCTACTAGCCTATTACCCTCCTTGGTTTTGTCCGGAGTTTGCACAGTATCCAAGGGGTGGGCAATCTTCCGATAGGAATGTTTTTGTAATTAAACAGAGGCCATGCTCACTGCTGCTCAAAATACACTTACAAATACTAGATAATATTGGAGATAACTTACCACAGGCAAGATGTACAAAAAGGTTATGTGAACATTTGATCAGGGTATTAAAACACTATTAGTCATTCTTTCATCCCAAAGAAATTAACATTTACTGTGCAGCTTTCTTGGCACATGATTTGAAATGAATAAGAACAGAAAATACCTCATTCTGTAATTTAAAAAAAGAAAATTTTTTTCAAAGCAGACCTAGACATACCTAGCTGCTGAAAGAGAAGAGCCACACTGGTGCCTGTAACAGGAAGGCTATCATGTAGAGGAGTCTGTATCAGTTGTCGGTCTCCAGCTCCCAAAGAAAACAATTTCTGTAGAAAGATTTTTTTTAACTGAGTATAAATTTATTTAGAATAATCAAGAAGTTATCAGCTAGTGATACATCCTGAAAACAGTATTTATTTTGTGAACAGAAGTTTAAAGCCATTAAGAGTAATTGAATCGACCAATAGGGTTCTGAAATATTATTTTAAGACAATGATGTGTCTCCTTGAATGTACAGCAGGACAGTGCCTTTCTTGCCTTCCACTGAGTTAGTTAAATAGTTATGGCTTTGAAGGCATTCAATGTTAAAATTTTTAGTAACTCCTTAAAAAACTTTCCAGGAAAACTTTCCTCCCTAGCAAAGGAAACAGCCACTGGGAAAGCCATATTTAGAGGGGAGAAGAGAAGCCTCTAGAGGTTCAGGTGGATCACCCAAACCTGTCCTACAAGGTTCAAATACCACTGGGAGATATTTGATGGTTTCTGATGAGGGGATACAATCTAATTACTGCCCTTCAAAACCAAAATGCCTGGAATGCAAAAACAGAGATATGGTTGCCTGGAAAGCAGTAAGGTAGATCTTAAGTAAGCCGAGAGGACTTTTTGCCACTTGCAGCACTAAGAGAAATTCCAAAGCAGCCAAGGCTATGGGAAAACCGGAGAAGAAAGGGATTTGTAGGGTTTCAGGATGCTTGATAATCCATACATTGAGCAGGAGGTGTGAGAAAACACGTATGAAATCTGACTTCAAAATATTGCCATTTCCATGACTCATGATAAGAACTACAATTTCCCAGTAGTGTCACAGCATGAAGTAAAGGCCAAGCAACTGGCTTGAAAGAAACCCACAGAAAGCAAAACAATAAACAAATTTGACTTTCTGCTCACAGAGAAACACAGGTAAAAAGCAGAAAGTGTATTTGCTGGAAAACTTCTTTTTTATTTCTGAATGCATGGGCTACCTGTAATACCTGAGAAAACCACGTTCAAAATACTTTAAAAACATTTTTTAAAAAAAACCTTGAAAATATAAATTTAAAAGTTACCAAACAAAAAACCAGTGGAATCCTAAACTGCAACAAGGAAAAGACACGGGTAAAAAAAATTAAAATGATGGGGATGTCAGAAAATCGCAAGGGAAAAAGGCTTTTAAAAAACATATGTAACAAGCAGAAATATTCTGGAGCACACATTATTATTAAAAACTGAACTTACACAAACTGCTTGATTTGTTACTGAGCCTTGTAAAGAGCCAACTCGGTGACAAAATTAACCCTTTGACCTTATCCTGGAATGGAATTTTTGCTGTCTTTAGAAGACAGGCACTCAGCTGAACTATGGTCTTTTTTTCTTCAAAAATATTTCAAGAATTTATTTTATGTTTTCTTCATAAATTAAATTAATTGGAAAAATACCCTTTTTTTTTGCATTTACCTGAGACCCTCCAGAAGCAGGGACAAGGCATGAACAGAGATTTGCAATGAGAGTCTCCAGTGACACATTCAGGCTGTCCACGTACACGGTATAGATCAGGCCAAGACAAGCCTAGGAAGGTAGACAAAAATATATTAGACTGCTATACATGGAAGACAGATGTCAAATTAAAGATCTATGTATACAATTTTTTTAAATAAGTGTGTCTTAATGGTTATTAATGTAGTGAAGTACTTTCCAACTGAAGACAAAGTAATTTGCTACAGAACCAATCACTCATTTAAAAAAAATGTGCTGGCGGGCATTTTTTTTTTTTAAAGAAATTCTGTATTTAGCATTTGTGATTTTTTCACTATAAAAAATGTGCTTTACTACAAGTTACTTTTAAAAAAAAACACATAAAAATCAACATAGCTTCATCTAGGTTTCTAGAATACAACATCAATGAATCGATGAGCTTCTGAGACTCACTTTAAGACTTGCATCAAGGATCAAAAGTTTCGTAAGTTATTTAACTTACATTCTTCAATTTAATATTTTGATAAAATATATTTTAAAATTAACAGTATATTAACATAAAGCATATGCTTTTCTGGGTCCAGTTTAACTGAGATAAAGCTTTATCATTTTTACTAATAATTTAATGTAAGATGATTCAACATCATGTTCTAAGAAGCCTTTGGAAAAAAGAAAATAACTAACTTTGTTGGCATCCTTTTGCTGTCTTTTACTGCTGTAATTCTGATAAATTGGCAAATATTTTAAGAATTCTCTTCTTAGAAATAATTCCAACAGTAACTTTTCATATAACACATAGTTAAACTGTAAAACTCCTTGCCATGTGTTGTTCTAAAATCTAAGCATTAAGGAACTGGACAAATTATATGAAAAAACTCATGCAACTGACACCTCTAGTTCAGGATGTCATTTATCTATAACTCACACTGAATTAGGGAAGTATTTTGTAGAATTACTTCTACAGCCTGCCCTATTCTTACGCTGTGTTGCGTTTGCTATGGGCCACTATCAGAGCCATAATACTGAGCTACATGGACTTTTACTCTCATTCTGTACACTCATTCTTAATGTCTAATGACAATTTAAGTGTTGAATGATTTCCTTCTTTGATCTGTAAACTGAACTACATTTGTTTCGGTTAATATGTATTGGCCTAACAAAATTTTAAGCTTTTCATTTATTTCAGATCAGTCATATTTCATCAGCTGTAAGTAATCCAAGTTCCTTAAATCTCTGTCATGCATCTTAATTTGATCTGCAAGAGGCTGTGATAATTTGCCTTACAGATGGAGAAAAATTAAGATTTCACTATTAATTTACCATTACATATTTAATCAAATACTGTTTATGTCTTGGTTTTACTCAAGCAAGTCTAGCTTTGTCCTAATACAGTAAACTGAACCCAGAAAAATCTCTTTTTCATCTTCTATGTAAATTTAAAACTGTTTGGAGGGTAAAAAAAAATAATTATTTAACCTATAGGAGCTATTTACTGTCGTAGACATTTGAATTTTATCTAGTTCAGTGTAAGCCTACTTTTGCTTTTAAATTCCCAAATCAATCCTGAGATGTTTTAAATCCAAAATACTGTCCTTGTTACTCATTAAGAACAGATTTGTCAGATGATATATGTTATAAATGGCAATGGCAAGTTCTTTACCCTGAAGATTTCTGGATAGTCTAATCTGGAGACCAACACCAGACTTTTAGGAGCAAATATTTCTGCAGGCGGAATTAAACCAGACTCCTCTTCACCTTCAATTTCTTTTGTTCCCTTGAAAACAGATACACTTCAATTAATAAGCAGAAAGATATCTCAAGCTAAAATGTCAGTAATCTTATAAAAAGTTAACAGATCTCAGAGCTTTAGAAAAGAAAACGACTGCATTATTTGGAACTGGTAATGTAGTCAACTAATAGGAGCACATTGCAATGGCTGCTGAAACTCCCAGACTTGTTAAAACTCACCTGCAAAGTCTCACCAATGAACCTGAACCAGTGAACCTGAACCAAAGATCTCCGAGACAGAAGTTTGACAGGACAGTGTTTCACATTAAATGCTCCCCATTTCACATTAGCTGATTTACAATCAACGATACTCTAAATACAGAAATAATTATTTCACAAAAGAGTGTGTGGTTCTCCTAGTCACATTCATATAATTCAATTTCTTACAGGATTTCCACTAATGTTACAGTTAAAATTATCTATAAAGTCACTTTCAGCCTGATACAGTGAATTTGGAATCTAAAGGAATTTCTTCACAAGAAAACTAGTTCAGATTTCTCAAAACTTCCCTCAGACTTACAAACACTAATTTTAAAAACTAAAAAGATGCATTGTAGATAAACTTGAAGTTGCTCATGATATTGCGCAAGTTGCTGTAACTTCCTTGCCAGCGCTTACTATTCAATCACAAATATTTATTATGAGTGGCCAAAACTGAAGATGTCACTGAATACTCTCATTTCTAAAATTCCACACATTCTTCGACAAATTCATCAGCTGAGTACATTTCAAATAACAGAAAGTCCGTGCTTTCCAATTTTTGCACGTAATTCTCTCCACCCTCATATCACCCACCAAATTTCCAACTATTTCACTTGTTCCTCTAAACCAAGCATTCTTCTAAGCAACAATCACTATATTAATTAGGAAAAATGAGAAAAATTACTTCCATTTCCATATGACAACACAAAGTATTTGTGCCTTCTATTTCTGTCCTGTTACTAGTCAGCATTTCAGTTTATTTTTTTTAAAAAATTAATCCCACATCACTTTTCTATTAAATGGAAGAAACCTGACTGAATGGCTCTTAAATGCCAGGAATGCTGTGAGTTCATGAGCTTTATTTCACAACCCCAGTGCACAACATACAGATTCTTTAAGCAAATACATGAATCCAAATAAAAACAGTTTAAACAAGGATAGTAGAAGCACTTAAAAAGATTACTTAATAAATGCTTTTAATTACAAAAAATGTTTAGTTACACTAAGCTTCCTGTACAAGTTTTATTGAGATGGGTGCATGATCAAAAAGTGTAACTGTTCTCCTACTTAGAAATTAAATAGGTTCCTTCAAAAGCACTTGTTTTAACTAATCTAAATGACTTCCTACTGAAACAAACTACATAAAAACAGCCTAATCCTGTCCAGTCCTGTCTGCACAGTCCTGTGTGTCGTGGTCAGAGCCAAAGGTGGCAGCTGAAGACATTGACTATTGGGCATCTTTAAACCAAGAAATGGTTTAAAATGAGAGTGCTTCATTTTGCCTTAACAAGTTACTTTAATTATAAGTTACATGTATTTTCATAACAAAGTAAAACACTTGACAGAGCAACATGCACACACGCTCATACGGGCATCCACTCGGCTTTGGACAGCAAGTCGTGCCTGAACGACAACCAATGCACATGTGATGTACACGCTTAGTCTAGTCTGCATCCTATTTCTAGGTTAAAATTGTGATTCACAGATTAATAGAGAAACACAGTAAATCAACAGCCGCATGTCCTGCATACATTCATTTATTTCCATCCATTACAATGTTGACAGGAAGAGTATTTACATTAATTCATTTACAAAATCATTTACACAGTAAAAACACTCACTTCATAAATTTTTTTTGGAAAAATATAATGTGATTAGCTGTATTTCTTCCACGGCTAAATGCTCTGACAGGCACGCAGGCACATTATTAGGAGTTAGCAGACTAAGTAGATAATCATTTCAAACACATGACTTTTAACCTACTTTTCAAGCAAAATATTAACAGCACAAGCATTCTCCAGCAATACCAAATACAGGGCAGTAAACCCACAAACTTAATTCTTTCTATGTACACTTTTGTTCAGACACGTGCGCATTTCATCCTTCTTCATCTATTCCCTCTTCCATTTAATGAAAAAAATTCTCTTTAATCATAAAAAAAATTAAAATATTTGGTTGTAGTTGTCTTTTTTTCCCTCAATACTTTTTATTTTATAAATACAGCATTTAGCTTACAACTACATTAAGAATAACTGGATGTCAAAGAAAACCTTGTTAAAGATAAATAAACTGAAATACGAAATCAAATCGGTTAAATGAGATGCAAGATAATACTGTTACATCGTTTTATTTTTTAAAATCTAGTTATTATAGTTTTCCTTTTGTACTTATATTGGTTGGAAGATGATGATGATAACTCAAAAAATAGTGACATTTCCTTTGAAGGACACAGGATGCAATTAAACTGATCAACTTGTTTGCTATAGCTGTAAGGTGGTCACTTAAAGAGATTGGTCAAAAAAACTACCAAAGTAGAGAGAGTATGATTACATATATTTCAACTGTCTGTCTTTCTTCTTGTATCGTGAGAAGTATCCATTTAACATATTTAATTATGTGATGGAGTAAACTGGAACATACAATGACCAACTAATTGAACTAACAGTATCACTTTCTAGTTTACAAACTTGGTCAATAAAAATAGCTGAGTTAATAAATGCATTTGTGCAAGCATTTGAAAAAAAACAACACAAACTCGCAAAATAGATGTTCAAATGACCAAATTAAAAAAAAAACACCACAAACCACATTAATCCCCTGACTGATAAGTAATAGAAAAATTAACAGTGATCAGCGTTGTTCATCATCACTCTGCTATTTGTTTGTTTTCTGAGAGCAATTTGTTCCTCAGTTTAGCCAAGGGCTGTATATGGCACTAAGCCCAAGTTAGACAAACTTGGACTAATTGTTCAAGCCTTTTGTAATGAGGAAGGTAACCAATAACTGGTGTTACCTACCAACATATCAGGTGAGATGTCCCAGATCCACAGTCTAGAAAAAGAGGTCTTTTATTTTTTAATAGATACAGTTAAAATCAAATACTTGTGGGTCTTGTACACATACTATTTAATACGGTAATAACTTGCTTTAAACTGGTGTCCTTTTGCTTTATAAACCCCTCCACATTTATAAAAAAGCCTAAGAACAACTGGGGACAGTTTGCATCATTTTATCAAGTACACTGCAATGAGATAAAAGTTTGAAAGCTTGGTATTAGAAGAAAATTTCAAGTATTACACTAAGTTTAATTTTAATAATAAAATATGGCATATTTCCCTCTAATAAATCAGAGCTAATCAAGAGTAAAAGCTTTCTTAAAACTGAAATTTACATTATACATTTTCTTCAAATGCTACACACAGGATACTGTGGAAAAGTGATTTACGTGTTCTAATGGAGCAAGAGAAGGGCAGTCACCTAGCTCTCCCAGTTCAGTACTCAGGCCACTGTATTTAGGGAGATCGTTAAAGGGAATGTAGTGAACACCGCAAAGCCGACAACACAGAGTGCACAGGCTCCGCTTAACAATGCACGATTGGTACCACTTCAAAACTTCATCACAGTCTCCTGCTTCTCTCATGCTACTCGGCAAACTTAAGCAGGTGCAAAGGTGAATATGAGGAAGTCCTGCAACGTTTTCTGCCCAATGCATTTTGTTTGGTTTAGATCACAAATATATTTTCAGAGTTGAAAATTATGAGTTTAAGATTCTGTTTTATAAGGCCAAGAACAGACTTGGTGTTTAGTTTCCATGCTTAGCATCAAAGGAGTGTAAGATGGAAATTTTATTGGAGCTATTTTGTGTGCCGACTTGCCAAAACAGGAGCAGTAACACCACATGAAACACAACAACCAATGGAGCTAACAGTGAAACTGTTAGAAAGTAATTTGCATCAGGTCCTATCCTATTATTTACTTTAACTCTTCATATACTTCTCCCTGCTACTGAAGGCAGCTGATGTTAAAGGACTTAGCTTGAGAAGGCATTAGTGTTTGCCCATGAACTGTAACTATCGTTCCTCTCTGTCTTCATCTCCAGCTTAAGAACTTGGGTATGTCCATCTTAATACCTAAATTTGCATGCCCAAATTTGCCATTTATCAGACCTCCTACACTGAAGGCTCCTAGATAAAGCATCTCTGAACTGGAACCTACCTGCCGACAGCTCTAGGCTGTCCATCCAGTCCTCACCCACACAGGCTCTCACTCCTCGCAGTTGGGCCACTGTGTCCTTCTGGGTCTTTGTAGCTCCCCTGCAGCAGGCAGCTCTGTGAGCTGCCGTTGTTAGAGGTGTCACTCACTTTCAGATGTGAGGACAATCCAGGCACACTTACTGTACATCTGCACTCTGGAGGCATATGCTACGGAAGTCAGTGCATTTAGTTCTGATTACCGTTGAATGGAGAAAAATTAGGTTTATCCTCCTGTCAGAGTGAGGAAAATCAACTGAAAGGGAGGTACCACCAGAAAAATTATATGTAGCTTTAAAAACACTATATGTAGCTTTACTGTTCTGAAGGTGGAAGCTGGAAGGTATTACCTGAAAGTCAAAGGAAGTCAAATGTGAACAGAAAGTGAAATTAGAATTGTACTTTTATTAATTCATCCAGTCCCAGAGAGAGAAGGAACATCTCTCATTACCAAACTTTCACTCTAGTACTTCATTATAATCATCAAAAAGTTTGCCCTATGCAAAATTTTGCACTGAAATTGTGCCATGTTCAGCAAGCCTGCTGTTTCTCTACTAACTGCCCAGCAAAGGAGATTTAGAGACCACGCATGACCTCTTATTTTAAGAGAAATTACTGGACGTTTGCTTCAGTAATCTCATGCCAATTGCTCATTTGGGATAGATCCCTTTCTCCCCCATGTGACTTAGTCTCTGCTGGTCTCAGTTGCAGCCAAATACACTCTTAGATGGTTTATTAACAATCAAAGCCCAAA